GGCGCCGCGCGTTTACATACCTCGGTGTTTTCTCTGGCGTCAGCAAAAGTGGAGGGTCCAGCCCACGTCCTGATGTTTATCGGCGTCATCCTGGACACCCGCCGCGCTAACATCAGTATGCCTATGGACGAACTTGCCGAGCTTCGTGATCTCCTTGGGGCCACTCTTCACACAGCTTCAACTACCCAATGTCAACTCGAGTCTCTTCTGGGAAAGCTCCCGTTTGCTACAAGAGTGATAGCCCCTGGATGCAAATTGCAGATTGTGGTCACTTGCCAACTGGTACCGGCAGCCGTGTTACCTGATCAAGCTCTCCAAAGAGTGCCTCAAAGATCTTCGCTGATGGCCTGAGCTCCTGGATTAGCGGAACGGTCGGTCCTTCTTCCTATACCCTAAATGGACGCCGTCCCCCGACTTGCTGGTATTCACTGATGCAAGTGGTGCACTTGGCCGGTGCTCGTACAATTGCGACCGGGGATAGGGCGATGGACAGTCAATCAAGCAGAGCAGCAATCGCAAAAGGTTGTTTGCAATTGTGGCAGCCCGCAGCACCTGCGAAAACTAGCGGCATCAGCTGCGAATGCCAATTGATGGGCATTTACAGCAACTGCGAGGATATTGCTCATCAGTTGTGGCTTTGGCCTGGCGTTGTACACCGGCCACTCGTTTCGAATCAGCTGCGGGACTCGATATTCAGAGAGGCGGGAAGGTGGAAAGCGATGTCTGCCCGAGTAACATTCGGACGCCACCTGCAGCCAAAGTATGGGTGGCTGCGGCAATGGCCTCAGCCCATGATATCAAGTTCTGACAGTCTTTACCTAGCTTGCACCGCTTACAGATTGCACGGGTAGCTGCACTTTGTGATCCGCTCCGGGAGTGCCGATTTATGGAATATATGCTCTCAACTGGTTATGCATACCAATATATTTAGCATTTGGAGGCTCTACTCAGAGTCATTGGCGGCTCCATGCAGTCATTGGCGGCTCCATGCGGAGTCATTGGCGGCTCCATGCGGAGTCAATTTGGGGCTCCATGCGGGGTCATTCGGCGGCTCCATGCGGGGTCATTCGGCGGCTCCATGCAGAGTCATTCGGCGGCTCCATGCGAAGTCATTCGGTGGCTCCATGCGGAGTCATTTGCCGGCTCCAAGCAGAGTCATTTGCCGGCTCAGCTGCGAGCCATCTAGTGGCTCCAAGCAGAGCCATCATACCAGTTGCTCGAATCGGCACTCCCAGCTTAATCCAAAACTCGGTTGCTCTGTTGTGAGGTGGGGGGATGCTAACCTAGGAATGGGTTTGCTCCCCACACTGGAGCTAGCGCTATTCCGTCGACTTGACACTTGACGGACTCACGACTGCCATCCAGAGTCGCCACCACTATTTCTAAACCATACGGCTAATTATTTTAGTTAGCTATCCACTTACCGGTACAGTAAAACCTGTGACTACCGACCACCCCTTGGTGCCAGCAAAAGCGGTCTTTAGTAGCAGGTGGTCTTTAGTTAGAGGTTTGCACCGCGTGACCATATGTGGATCCCATTATATGATATGTATGTCAAAATGCAGCTAATACGATTCCCCAGGACTTGCGCAATGTCAGAAAGACGGAGAGATGGAGAGAGAGAGAGAGAGAGAGAGAGAGAGAGAGAGAGAGAGAGAGAAGATTAATTTTTTGCAGACTTCAAATTCAGCTGCTACTTCTGAAGCCAGGAGTCAAACGTTCCCTGGGGAAGTTTCGTTTCGCGCTGGGCTTCAAATTTGTTCATGCGATCAATCATACCGACTGTCCTTGTTGTGACTTCTGGATTGCTTGAACGCGATCCTTCAGCATCAGGACCTTGTGGTGCTGCTTTGTTTCTGGATTCCTTGATGCCATCGTCAATCCGTCTGTATGACTGGTGTGACAGAGCCGCCCAGTCTTCGTTTCTCCTCCGAGTAGTAACATCGATCAGAGAGCGCTTTCGATGCGCTCTCCAAGACGTTTCCTATCATGTTTTTTCTTGACAGCGCTTGAAATTTTGACAGGTGTAGTGCAGTCCACACTGACTCCACAGCCAAAATTACCTGCATTCATTTGTTCAGCTGTAGTATCGAAAGATTCTTTTCAGGACCATGGAAAATCAGTAAAATTTCAAGAAGGAGCTTCGAGCAACATTTGATTTCCTACATCGCGGTCGCTAGTTACGGGTCAAAAATTGTGTTTGGGACAGGAAAAGGCGGTCGCTGGTCGCGTTCAGAAGGTAGTCGCTAGTCACAGTGCATTTTGAAAGTGAGACCTTCCGTGCCTGGCGAAGTGGTTGGTAGTACCAGGCTGGTCGCTAGTGACAGTGGTCTTTAGTTACAGGTTTTACTGTATATCCCTTACCGAAATTGTATTCTTGAACGCAATATTCTTCTTTCTTTTTCTTCTACTCCGTTCCATCAGCACTCGGCCGATGGCAGGAGATTGGTACCCACTGGGCTAGCATGCAGCAGCCAAAGCTGGGGCCTTTTCTTACTCCGTCAAACCCACTTCTTAAAACGAAACTGACGTGCATATTCACATTGCATGTTGTGAATGTCCCCATATTTGCCCCGACATCTTAGCTCGTACAGCGCTCCAGATACATCTATGCTACGGTGCGCACCGCATACTCGAATTACGGTACGGGACACATACGGGATACTGCACCAACCATGGCATGCCACGTGAACCACCCTACCAGACACCGTGACACGCATCGAATTACAGCGGTGTGGATACTGGCTAGCGCCAGATGCTACTAAAGTACAACTGAATAGCGTCTTTTGCATAGCTACGGGAATAATCTCATACCCCAAGTATTGCAGCTCTGCTAATACTGAAGTAGAATAATTCAGGTTACTCCCACTCCATTTCTCTAGTGCTTATTTTTCTGAAAAAATATCATCTTTGGCACCAGAATGCTGCCACCAAGAGTACATTAACCAGAGTGTGCAGCCCAAAGAGAATCATCCCACGGCAAAGTTTATTGTTTAGGGCATAGACTCGCAGTAACAGGCTCACCTTTGCTGCATCTCACACCGCTTCACACGGTCATCTACTCTATCACCATGGTAATTTCTGTTGCACATTGCTGCTTGTTTAACAAAAACGTAGAAAACACACCGAATTTCCAGGTAATTACCATGGTGATACGGTACTTTAGCTTGAACCTATTGTATGACGGGTTTTCTATGATTGATAATGACCCAGAGAGAAACTAAACCGGTATCGAATTCCAGTCAGCGACGCAATTCTTCTGAGGTGTAAAGTGACTTCAGGAATATGTTGCAGAAAACTGCGATGCATGCTGATTATTTACTGTGCCCTATTGTGCACAATATACCAGGTGTGTTACTCAGGGATGAAGTAGATGCACACACGTGCCGGGCATCACGGCACAGGTTAGGTTTGCTACTAGCCGCTGCAGTGTACTTGTGGTCCGAACTTGCACTCTACTCAACTCTGCATACGCAAAGAGTGCTGGTGCCGAAATGAACCAGAAGGGTGCTGAGTGGGACGCAACAACACTGACTCTGTCTACCCATGTACACAGATATGATAGGGTATGCAGTACCTGCTCTAAGATTTAACACAAACCGGGTACACGTCTACCTGGCACAATTCCTGCAACACTGGGCCAGAGCCAGATGCGTTCAAGTGCGGCTACTGTGTGTCAGGGAGTCGTAAACTTACTTTCGACTTCCTGATGTACATGATTGTACATGTACATGTATGAACGTACTCGCACTGGGCACTCTGGCCGCACGCGTATGCAGCCTGTCAGTGGCGGTATACCCTCGAACGGTATAAAAAAGTATAGTACTCGACAGGACTTCCGACCGGGTCGCAGGTAACCCAGTGTTCTTTTTCCAAAAGGTCCAAGTACTCACAAACAGGGCCACTGACCCGGCTCTGGAGCAGACACTGGTAATCTAGGTCCAAGTTTGCTCGATTATGTTCTGACGCTTCATGTGCTTTCATAGCCAAGGTTTCTCACTTTCTTCGCAAGCTCTTTTAGTCTTGAGAGTTGACAACTGCTTATGGTTGTGTTGGCAGAAAACATGTCAGCTAATCTGACAACCGTCCAACCCCATTTTACTGGTAAGTAGTCAGCGAGTGGCTTTGATGGGGCCATACAGTACTAGAGGGGAAGTTACGCGGCATATTTGTGCTTCCTTTTTGAAAACACGTTCTCGCTCGAAGGGTTTCTAAACTTTATCCCTGCGCTCATTGATGGAGTTCATCGATGGAGTTGCCAGCGGCACTCTACAGAAGAACAATGTTGTCAAGTTTTTTTATGAAAAATTGTCAAACATTTTCAAATTGCTATAAGTTTGGTTAGGGCCGGGTTCCACTGCGGCTCCGCAGCTCCGCTGCTCCACGGTACTTGGCTGCATGCAGCAGAGCGGCGCGGTTCCAGTGACACTCGCCATTCACTTCACGGTACCGCGATCGTGCTCGACGTTTTTTTTATGACATTTAGCCTGCCTGCGCGCGCGTGAAATCCAAAAAAAATCCTCGTGTTCTGGCCTGTGCAACGAATTAAAATTCCCCCGAATAAAACAATTAAGTGCGGGAAACAATGCAAGCCGTGACCGCGGCTTGCATTTTTTTGTATCAAGCAGCGAAGCGAAAGCTGGTGATGAGCCGCGGCCTCGCTGGACCAGCTCGTAATGATGACGTTTCATGCCGTGGATGATGTGCGGCGGAGCGGCAGTGGAACCCAGCCCTTAGGCAAAGGAAATTTGTCATTAATTTGTTTATGCTGCATAGATGGAGAGCTGCACACTCTGGCTTATGGACTCTCGCCTACAGTGTAGTCGTACTGCTAGTGTACTGGCATTACAGAAGACACGAAAAACGAGAACATAATTATGGCGAGAAAGTAATTACTGGCTAAGAATTGCCCTAAGACTTACCGCTTCTCAGTGCTCCATACCAGGAA